AAAAAAATACTGTTTTTAGTAATTTTGGGGAGAATGTTCATTTGGGTGTGTTAGGTGGCAAACCTTTAAAATAATATATTGTGTTTAGCATAAAAATGTAATGAAAACCGATTTTAGATTTGAATACGGTTTAATGGAGCATTGGCTGTATGGCCGCCGATCGAGGCCTGAAGGATGATGTGTTTAAAACATTTATAAACATGATTTCATGTTCGTCTGAAAACAAAGACATTCTCTTTTTAAAAATGCCCATTCAGGGTAAACGTTATTGTTTGTTTTTTTTGCCTAGTTGGAAACATCTCTTTGATTGTCGAGTAAAACAATAATGTAATCAAAAGACGATCAAAACGAAATTATTGGTTTTTATTATGCTATTTTCGTTTTTTGCTTTTCAAAAGACTTGACAATAACTATCGATTGAACTAAATGCAAAAAAATTACAATGAATATCGCAAATCAAATCAAATCTAGTCCATACATCTGTAATTTGTTATTGAGATAAAAACAATAGTAATTTTGAGAAATCCTTTTCTGACAATCAAACTAAATAAAACTTTAGTTTTCACATTTTACACGTCAAACTCTGGCGCAACCGAAGTGACGTCGGCGCGGAATCCTGTGACGCGGCACGTTGTCGTACTTCCGTTTCAAAATGGCGCCCCCCACACCTCTTTTAGCAGGTGAGTCGACTCTCTGAAATGTATATTTCATGCTCCTTTCAGTGGCGTAAAGAGAAGTAATCAACGTGAGATGGAGAGCATGTCATGAAATAACTCACATCTTATTCATTTTCACGCATAAACTCATTCATAAACCCGTCATATGCGCATAAAAAGGTTATACCGCAATTCTAAAGAAATCGGAGTATTGCTCTAAAGCGTACCAACGTATGCACGCATGTGCAAATATGAAATATTAAAAATTATATATAATATTTAGCTAATGATCAGCTGATAAATGGTTTAAAAGGATGCATGTCTCGAGTTCAGAAGAAACGTTTTTAAGCAGGCTTGACAAAGCCACCATAATGGACCTTTGGTCAGGGTTTGTTGTTGTTTATTTTTAAATCACTACCTTGAGACCAATTATTGAAACTAATATAGTTTTCAAGCTACATCCATCAATAAAATCCATACATACATCAGCAACTCCATCAGCTTGTTCTGACTTAGTAGATTTATTATTTCCCATATTGACAAAATCTGTCCCTCTGTACAGTGCTACAAACTTCAGATCTCTTTCCAAACTGTCCTAATATTAAGTCCTAAATCTAGTATTATGTCCTAAATCTACACAAGATTTAAAATCTTCAAGGCTGATCAAGCTAGTCTTTTCTTTCCTGGTTTTAACATAGTCTGTTTCGTTTCAAACAGTCAGAGGATCAGATGGCACGTTTCTGTTGCGTGGACCTCCGAGCTGTCAGGAAAGCTCTGCTTTTCAGAGGTGACTTACTGCA